AATGAATCATGGAACACTACATCAAAAACTAATGATGTAATGTATGGTGGTTAACATAACAATAAAAAAATTATTAAAAAAAAACTAATGTTGTAATGTATGGTGATTAACATAACAATAAAAAAGAATATAAAAAGAGGGTTGCATATTTTCTAAGAGCTTAAATCACGTTTTGATTTTCTAGCTGTTCTTACGTATGTCACAACTACAATTAACATTTAGTGACACATATGTAAAACTTGAATTTAAAAAAGTTGAACTGAAAAAGCAAGTAATCATTCTCAAGCAAAGTCCAGCCCTATAATTAAATTTACTGTGTATTTCAAAATGTTTGTCTTAAGGGAGGAAAAGAGATTCATTTTATTTTGTCAAGAAAATTTTCTGATGCTAGTTGTGGAAACCAGTCTTAATATAATTAGAATCATACTTCATATAATTAAACAGACCCCTTAGGGAGAAAGCCCATCTAAATACCAGTGCTTTCTATTTCTGTTTCATTATACAAACAAGCTCCAGTAGAAACTGTTTTGCTTTATGGAGAGGAACCTGGGCTTTGAGGTCAATCCTTGTTAAGATTCAACCTTTCACCATCATTTGAACAACTTAAAAAAAAAGACAACCTGTTTACTATGGAGAATTGACAGCATTGATGTACCTTGGATGAGTGCTTCTTTGAAATGAAGGCCAAACCACAAAAAAGATTAGGTTAAAGAATTTATCTCTTATTGAGCATTCTCCACCCCACCTTTGGACCCTCACTCCAAGCAGCTTGTTTTCTGCTTTAATCTGTGAAAGCCTCAAGAGTTCCAACAGTTACTACCCCAGAAGGTGTGCAAATAGGTTAACACAGTATACCCTCTTTGCAGGTATACTTTGTTCTAAGAAAGTACTTTTTAGGTCTACCTTCAATTAATAAGCTTATCATCTTCCAAAACTTCCTACATTTATTTAATTTTACACCAATCATCGACCAGGTCTTGAGTTAAAACATTATTTCTTTTTTTCAGTTAAAACATTATTTCAATTAATCTTTACAACAGTCCTATTAAGTAAATACTCTCGTATCCCCATTTTATTCTTGAAAATACTAAAGCCCAGAGACAAAGGTTAACAAGGTCTTACAGTTAATATGTAGCAGAGTTGAGCTGAAACCCAGGCCTATTAGACCTGGCATTGAGTATTTACCTAATGAAATTTTCAGTAAGGACTGGTTAGAAATTTTGATAAAGAAATCAACTTAACTAATCAAGTGATTTGTACCATTTGTACTTTTATGGACAAATGGTAGTACCATTTGTACTACCTCACTGGTAGTAAGGACTTCTGGTATATAAATTCTTTCTCAGTTTTTGAGAGTAGTTGTGAGACTGGTCAGTGGACGTTTCAAGTGGCAAGAATTTTCAATTGGATACTTTTTCGAGTCATTTAATTTTTAAGATTCAATAATGGGATGGATGAAGTTCCGGGGCATAAAGAAAGCATGAGCTGGTGGTCTATCAGCGGAACTTCTGAGAACCAAACGGAAGAGAATTGTAATTGCATCTAAATGCTACAATTAATTTGATTGACAAGTGGGGCTTAGGAGAACCCATATAGGAAAGAGCGGGTTTTAATGAAAAGGAAGGGAAACATCAGTTCAACATAAACATCTTAATAAACTTTTTTGTGTCTGTGCCATATTTCATAATAGATGGTATTCCTAAAGGCTTAACCCTAGGAAACACACGTGTGCTCACATATGCCACACTAATTTAACAGCATGGTTTATACAAAGAAAGCAGTAATAATTGGGCTCTTCAGGACCTCTTCACTTTTGCCTATGTCAAATTCTCTAATCCTTCCTCCTCAAAGATGGACTAAAGAGAAGGGGTAAGTGATAAAGCACAAGGTTTTCACTAATTGCCAAATTTTGATCAAATACATTATTTTAAAAGTTCTTTTGTCATTGCTTCTTCAAACTTGGAAATAACTTGCTTTGCTGATTCCTCTGACTACTACCCAGGACTAGCTCTACTAGAATTTTTAGAAGAAAACTCAGTACTCCAAACAGGAGCTCCAATCAAATAGATTGCTAATTATTACTAGCACAGAGTAATCTATGTCCAGTCTCTCTTCATAACAGGGACAAAGATCACCATGTTTTCAGAAAGTTGACTTACGTCCAGGGTACTCTACCAGACACTTTAATCTGCCCAAAATCATAGATTACAAATCACAGAGCTGGGATTCAAATTTAGGACTCCAGAGCCTTTTCTGCCACATTATATCAATTACAGAATATAATGCAAAAACTTAAGAGATCCTTTGTTACCCTGTGGCTGTAAAGGAATGGCTAGCCATTCCACTACCCACTTCTCACTCTCCTTAGCTCGATTTCCTTTTACTTTGGTAACTTCACCATCCTTCACCGTCCAACAGATTATTTAACCTTTCAACCATCTCTGGTAGACTAGAACAG